CGAAGGATATCTAAAATCAGCTGAAAGTGGAAGTCCTAATGAGAGACTCAATGCTAGATTATACTACGAGAAGGGTGGTAATTTGAAAGGATACTGCTGCGGGAATAGAATCAAAGTTGAAAAAGATAAAAATAAAACATTCAGTTATTATCAAAAATCAGCAGAAGTGGAAAATGCAAACAGAACATATATAGTCAGTTATTGTAATGACAATGGAATTGGGAATGCAATGAACATAGAGGATGATTTTAGGGTAATTTATAGTAAAGAGGAAAAGGATAAAAAGAAGATAAGTAGGGTGAACCATAAAAGAACAAGTCATACAAAAAAAGTGAAACCAACAAACATACCTGAAAATTCTAACAAAGAAAGAACTGCAAGTAACGAAGGTAAAATGCTTGAATGTTATCAAAGATCTGCAGATAGAAGACATGTTAATAGAATATTTAATGTTGGTTATTGTAATCGATATGGAAGTGGAATTGATAAAGACGAATATGAGGCATTTATTCACCATCGAAAAGCTACCAATATGGACAATACTGATGAAATGATTGAAGTTGGACGTCATTATTAAGATGAAGTAGTAGCAGTGATAGATGCACTGCTAGATATAGTTATATGAATGGATGCAATAATGCAAGGCTTATTGGAATCTTTGATGAAGTCTGAGTTTGACAGTAATGATATAAACCATGAAGATAATGTGCCCTATACACGCAAAATAAATGGTGGCAGTAGTGAAAAGGATATTGATGAAAGGTTATTAATTAGTAAAATGAGTGGTGATAAGATTTATTAAACAGACTGTATAGGAATCAAAGACTTACTCTTGTTGAAAAATAGAGACATCTGAAAGTCCAAAACCGAAGAAATAGTCTGTAATGATGGTAAAACTGATGGAATCAACGTTAGTAAACCCGAGGTTCAGAAGTTTGCAACTTTTGGATGTGAGATGGATATGCTTCAATGGTTTTGAGAAGTGAATATCAGTCAGGAAAGTTGTGATCAAGACTGTTTCAATAAAGAAAGGTCTGACAATTCAAATGAGCAATCCAGCCTTGGAGATGGAAACAATGAAAGTAAGCCAAGTACTAATCTTGAAACAAAGATGCCTCTGATTAATAGTGCAGCCAAAAGTCTAATTAAAAATAAAGATATCAGTGCTGATCAAACCGATGGTAATGTTGAAGATGCAAAAGATGTGTTACAAACATCCAGATCCGTAAATGATGGTATGAAAGTAAGGAAAGGGTTGAACTAGGATCATTGTCTAGGTTCTGTTGTAATGTCAAGCATAAATAGGATATAAGTGGCATGTCTAGAGCACAAAAACCTTATACTAGAAATTCAATGATGGTATTGAACGCATTAGATCGAATAAGGAAAAGAGAATTTTACAGCCAGCTATACCTAGACCATGTAATCAAATATAACAGATTGGAACATATGCTGTTTAAAAATCGGATTAAAATGCGCAAGCTTGGATGTTTGGACCTGCGAGTATGGTAATGCTAAAAAAAAAAAAAAAAAAATTAATTAATTTAGCATTTGTGTATATGTTAATTGAACAATATGTTGCATTAATTAGTATATTAGGGTAGTATTATGGTGTAAGATAGTGCAAGTAAAATATTTTATGTTGCTAGTTTGGGTTTTACAGGGGTTAAAACCTTAGAGATGAAGTTCTAAGGAATCTAGCTTGTGTTATAGATTAATTCAGTACCCCGTGATTTCGTAGTACTGGATTTAGGATTTATATGAATGGTGTGATTGTAATTTGCATAATGATGATGCATAAATTTAATTTAAAGTTTAATGCATGTGACCCAGGTAATAATATATCCAGCGATTATCTCATATTTAAAGCAAAACAATCTTGATAATAATAAAGATAGATTTGGCTTTTGCGAAAGACATTGTTTAAGTAATAAACATTCATGTTATACACTGTATAGTTGTTGTCATTATAAGGTGTCAAGGTGGAAGTACCTGAAATGTTACTCCAGACTAAGTGGAAAGCCAAGTGAATGACATTCGTAAGAGAGAAGAACAAAGATCTCATATACCGAAAGTCACTACGACAATAGTCTTTGACTAACTATCATCGCACCAACTATCGTTATACCAATCAACCAACATATCTAAAGTAAACAAACTTTCCTCATCTATTCATTTGTGGTTTGTAATATGATTCAGAAACTTGTATAGAGTTAATCAATTCTTCGACTAACTATCGATTGTCGATTTG